CATTTGTCTGTGGATATCCAGGGCTCATGTATGAGATTACTAACAAGCATTACTGAATAATCAGATGAGGGACAGTTTGCTATGTCTACTAGGTGGCTAAAGTCTGATCCTCAGAGCCTATGGTTTGGACGGTCAAAAATGCTTGGGCCCACAGGGTCTTGACCTCCTGACCGGGTGTGCACGGTCTGCATCAGATTCCCCCTTATTTACTGTTTGTTTAAGGGACGCTGCCTGTCTTAGGCGGTCAGTGCAAATTCCTCAGTCTTACCCGTCATTGAAACTCATTGCAGCATGGCAATGGCTCTGTCTTAGGTTGCGGAGGTTCCACGTGATCCTTATCCGTCTCTGGCCATATGTCCAGCATAAACAGCTGCCATCCGAGGAAGGCAGGGAGGGAGGAGATCGGCTGGAGACCCCATATGCAAGACGTTGCCAGCCCACCACCTGGTCTAAGGTGACCAAGCAGGATCACTATGCTGAGGTTCAATCAAGTTCTTAGGGGATCTTACTCTCTAGCAGGGGTAGCAAATTAGTAGCCACTCAGTGCTCACTTTGAGAATTACTTATATCAGAAATCTGAGCATGTAAGGTTAATTTTTAATTTGATAATTTTGTGTGGCCCGCAAATGATGTTATAAATTTTGGCAGAAAAAAGGTTCCCCACCCCTGCTTTAACTAGTTTTCCACAAGACATTATAGGCAACAGTTCAGCCCAAAGTATGAGACCTGAAGACAGAATTTATGGCCATTTAAGGTGTGCTTGATCCAAGCCATGATGTTTTCAATAACCTCATATGCATGCAAAATCTCATATGTACGCGAAAGCTGGACAGTGAATAAGGAAGACCATAAAAGAATTCATGCATCTGAGTTATGGTGTTGGAGGAGAATATGAGCTCTGGTAGCATAGTGGTTACGAATTGGGCTGCAAACCTTAAGGCCAGCAGTTCGAAACTACCAGCCACTCCAAGGGAGAAAGATGAGGTGTTCTGCTCCTGTAAAGATTTACAGCCTCAGAAACCCTGTACAGGGTCGTTATGGGTCGGAACCAACTTGACAGCACTTAACAACAATGGGCTGCCAAAAGAAGCAATAGATCTGTTTTGGAAGAAGTGCAACCAGAGTGCTCCTTAGAGGCCAAGATGGCCAAACGTCGTCTCTCATACTTTGGACATATTGTCAGGAGGGACAAGTCGCTGGAGACAGATATCATGTTTGGTAACGTGGTGGGTCAGAGAAAAAGAGTAAGACCCCCAATGAGATGGATTGGCCAAGTGGCAGCATCGATGGACTCAAGTGTGGCAACAATAGTGAGGTTGGCCCAGGATCGGGCAGTGTTTCATTCTGCTGTGCGTAAGGTCACTATGGGTCGGTACTGACTTGATGGCATCTAACAGCAACAACAACAACATAGAAAGACAGCCCTGGCACCTTCTCTCTCATCAGGATCAATGCTTTCAAGTAAGACAGTTTCAGGGTAAAAGGAAACCAGGTTTCAACATTTAAAGAAAAGATGTTGTTGACTTCCGTATCTAATCATTAGTTTGTTGATTAAATGAGAAACAGAAGATTATCAAGGACACACATGCACTTGCTTTTTTTTGTTTGTTTGCTTTTATTATGAAGTTTATTCTTAACTGAATTTGAGATTAATAGATATTAAAAAGCATCATTCACAACCAAAGCAAGCTAAAAAACCTTGCAATAAAATCTTTTATTCGTATAAATATTAAGAAAAACAACAACAGACAGATGATTTGTGGTGGTGGTGTGCCAACGAGATGATGCCAACTCACAGCGACCCAGTATAGGGTTTCCGAGGTTGTATATCTTAACGGGAGCAGAAAACCTCATCTTTCTCCCGCAGAGCGAATGATAGATTTATACTGACTTTGAGACTAGCAGCCCAGCTCATTATCCACTATACTACCCGGGTTTCTTACAATGCACTATTGTTATTGTTGTTAAATGTGTAGTTGGTTCCAATTCATAGTGATCTTGTACAGAGTTTTCGGGGAGCAGCTGCTAAGTTTGAACTGCTGACCTTGCGCTTATAGGGAGGGGATCCATTTTCAAATGACAGGAAAATTAAGTCTAAGAACTGGTTAACATTATCCCCCCTTCCCCAAAAGCCAAAAAGTCAATTCTAACTCATAGCAGGTGAGCCTACAAGACAGAGGAGAATTGCCTCATAGGGTCTCCACGGCTGTAAAGCCTCTTCAGATGTAGGCTGCTACATCTTTCTCCTGTGAAATGACTGGTAGGTTCAAACTATCGACCTTTGGGTCGGCTAGCAGCTAAGTACTTTAACCATTATTCCAGAAGAGCTCCTTCCACCCCTTTAGAGAGATCAAATTGATCTCTAATTTAAACACTGAAGATTGCCAGGAGGATGTTTTTGTCATGCCAGCCAAATGAAAGAATTCTTGCCCAAATATGTGGTGGTTTTTCCGCATCAGATTAAATCAAGTCAGATTTAAAAAGAAATGACATTACCAAGCCCAGCTGACAGTGAGCAAAAGCAGGGAGAGTAGAGAGTGGGTTGGAGAGCAGAGACCTTGTTCTGGAGATTGTCTCCTTTGTCAAATCCTGCAGCTCGGAAACTTGCTAACTGGACTGAGTCAATAAGTTTGTTTTAAACAAAGAACCTACAGGATAATACCAGCTGCACAGCTGCTTCCATTTATATGTATAGATTAGACATTAAAGTTGTCTGAGTTGGTAAAAAATAATGACAGTTAAGAAGCTGTGCTCTAACTTGAGCAAAACTAAACTAGTAAGTCATTTTTACTAACCTCAGACTTGGCTTTCTGTCCATCCCTCACTCAGGAAGGAAAAACTGGGACAAAAGCAGAACCTCAGTGCAAAAAATAAGATTCTCTGCACCTAAGCCAAGTTCTCTGGAGCAAATGGCTCACAAATCAGCCCAGTTGGCATGACTGCCCAGCCCAGCTGGCATGCAGTCCAGGCCTTGCAGAGGCTGCAGGTGGCCTGGGCACATAGACTCTGCTCACTAAGTTCCATATGCCCTAGGGCGTCTGAATACTTACATTTCTCCTCTTTTCCATATTTGCTTCTTCAGCTGCTTTCTGGTACCTTCAGGAATGGGGGGAGAGAAGAGAGAGAGAGAATGTCCTTAAATTAAACTTATATTTTTACTCTTTCAATCTTATGGAAAGCATTTTTGCATACAATTTCTGCCAGCAGTTGTCTTTAATCAACTCTCTCAGAATGAAAGGCACAGGGAATTTAGGCTTAGAATCAGAGCAAGCCCCCATTTCCTGTGGCTGTTCCAGTTATCTGCTGTGATACAGCGTAAAGATACAAGTGAATAAGGCTGAAGGCAAATAATTGAGTACAGCAGTGTCTGAGGTCTAACTTTCAGTGTCTTCATGAATTTTTTGTCACATATCTCTGGACTTCTGATGTGGCACTGTAGGAAAAGCACAAGACTGCAAGGTCGACTTGAACCACAAAGTTGGCAGTTCAAACTTACCGTTCGGTGCTTGGGAACCCTATACAAGGGTTGCTATGAGTTGGAACTGACTCGACAGCACTTAACAACAACATCTCTGGCAAGTCACTTAACTGTTCTAAGTCTCAATTGCTTTACCTAGAAAATGGATTCACATAGCTACTGTCAGGGTGGGGACATGAAATGAGATCACAGAAAGAAGAGACTCAAACAGGTATCTATCTGTTTGCCAGTGTTCACTGCAGCACTATTCACAATAGCCCAAAGGTGAAAACAATCTAAATACCGCATCAACAGATGAATGGATAAACAAAGTATGGTATACACAATGGAATGCTACTCAGCCAGTATTAGAAACAAAGTCTTGATACATGCTACAATATGGATAAGAGTCTAAAAACATTATGCTGCATGAACTAAGTCAATTACAAAAGGACAAATACTGTATGATCTCACATAAAAAGAACATACAGAGACCCAAGTTTACTAATTAAGAGTAGTGTTGCACAGCTGATTTAATATAATTGATATGAATAAGTTGTTCACCTGCAAAAAGTTCAATTGCAAATTTTATATGATATTTTTAAAACAAAGACAGCAATAACAAAGTAGCTGCTGAGACTGCTTATATACAAACAAAAACTTATGGGATTTGATTCCTCAGCTCAAGGTCATGGTTTCGTGGGACATCCCAGTTAATTAGCCTAATATATTGTGTTTAGTGCATCTACCTTCTAGGTCACTGTGTAGTGCCTGGGATCTTAAAAGATTGCAGGTGGCCATCCCAGGTGCAAATATTAGTCTCTATTTGTCTGGAGTAACAGAGGAAGGAGAGTCAGGAATAGGAAGAAGAAATGGAATGTGTGGTTAATTGCTTCCACGAATAACTTTCACTTCTACCATGAGGCCAGAAGAACTGGATGGTGCCTGGCTAACATTACTGAACAGATCAAAGATTCTGAAGAATCCAGCTCAAGAAAAGGGGAACTATAGAACAATTCAAATTTTTTTGGACTCTAGATTTTTTGGAGCCAGGAGGATGGCCAAACCCCTGAACCTATTACCCCAAGATCACCTTTAAGCCTTAAACCAAAAATATCCCCTGAAATCTTAAAAAAAAAAGTTGAACTTAACTAGTAAAGAATGCCTGCCTTGTGCATTGTGTTCTTTTAAGATCTACCTTATATGGGACCAAATTGACAGCAGTAATTTGAAAGATTAAATAGAAAATTTTGGGGGTGGTGATTTTGTTAACAGGCAGGAATAACTTCAAAATGGACGGTGAGAATGGACACAGAACTCAAAGATTGTAACCAATGTCACTGACTTATACATGCAGAAACTGTTTTATTAGTGTATGCTCTACTGTGTATATTCTCAACAATGACAAAAATAAAATACATTTGAAAAAAGATTAAATGAGATCATGTGTGTAAATTTAGTCAAATACATAGAGCATTGCATCAGTTCATCCACCACTTCATATTTTGTTGTTAAGTGCCGTTGGGTTGGTTCCAACCCATAGGGACTCTCTGTGGTTTCTGAGGAGTGGCTGGTTAGTTTGAACCTCCAACCTTACAGTTCAAACTGACCTTTCAGTTTATCCCCCAGAGTTACACCCCATATTTACTGCCTCTAAAATCTCAGAATCCTTGTCAGCAGTCACACTGTCTGCATGGACATGTGCGAATTTAGTTAAGTTGTTGGCACTGTCACTTTAGCTGAGTTAAATGTATTTTATGGTGTTACACAGGGTTTTGGAATTTCTGAGTGCAAACAGTTAATGTACTTGGCTGTTAACCTAAAGGCTGGAGATTCTAGCATATCCAGATTCATACTGGAAGAAAGGTAGGGAACTAAATGGAAAACCCAGCCTTTAGAAACTCTATGAAATTCAGTTCAACTCTGCCATACATGGGGTCATCATGAGTCAAAGCTGACTCCACAATAACTAGTAAAACATACCAGGGGGCTTCAAAAAGTTAGTGGAAAAATTAAAATGAAAAGATAATGCAATTTTTCCACGAACTTTAAAAACTACTTTGTATGTTTTAAATGCTACCTTAGATGCCTTTCTAAAGATTACGCTATGATTTGGTATTTAAAAAATTATTTTTACTTTTTATGTTTGCACAAAGAGTCCTGGTATGGTGCTGTGGGTTCATGTGCTGGACAGCAAAGTTGGTTTGAACCACAAAGTCGGTGGTTCAAGCTTACCAGCTGCTCCTCGGAAACTCTCTACAGGGTTGCTATGGTTCAGAATGGATTCAACGGCACTTAGCAATAAGACAACATGTTTATGCAAAAGTGGTATGCGATACAAATCTAGGTAAGCAGTGGTCAGGTAAATTAGCAGCGTTTTTTTCTTGCTGCTAGTTAGGTATTGCTCAGTCGATTTTGACTCAGAGCAACGCTATGTAAAATACAATGAAATGCTTCCCTTTCAATCCCTCATAGTCACTGCTATGTTTTGAGTCCCATCCATTTTTCTTCTCATTGTTAGGTGCTGTCCAGTTGGTTCTGACTCACAGTGGCCCTATGCTCAACAGAATATAACACCGCCCGGTCCGGTGCCAGCCTCACAGTTGTTAAGTTTTAGTTCATTGTTGCACCCACGGTGTCAATCACTCTCATTGGAGGTCTTCCTCTTCTTTGCTGGTGCTGTCAGATAAGCACTTTACTGCTAACTGCAGTTAAGTTAGCAGTTCAAACCCACTAGCCACTCTCAGAAACCCTATACAGAATTGTTATGAGTTAAAACCAACTTGATACCAACCATGATGTCCTGTTCCAGGAACTGGTGCTCCTGGTAACATGTCTAAAGTATGTGAGTATAGCGTAGTTTATTACTTCCTGTTTCTCTTCTAATCATAGACTTTGTAACAATCACCAAACTACTTTTTCCTGATGGATCTGAGTAAGAGATGGTAGGGGAAGAGGCTGATAGATTATATGGTTCAGTTGTAAGTGACTGTTAGCAGGGTTAATTGCAACAAACTGGAAACTCTACAGTGGGTATGAAATGAGCCATCTCACAAGCAAGAGTGTGGATCTCACTACCATTAAAGAAGATGAGCCAGAAGTGGAGCACGTGACAGAGTAGAGGGCTTCCAAATCCATGGAGCAAGTAAAGTTGGGAGACTTTGGGCAGGAAGCTTGCTTGCAGAGTGGGATACCTCCAGGCATTTAATTGGGTGAGCTAGGTTTGCTGATCCACAGAGATAGAGATGAGTGCCCTCTGAGGCTTAATGGTGGAAATGGTATGCCCTGTGGACAATTATCAGCAGTCCTAAGAGAGCTTTGTAACACTGCTAGAGAAAGGCAGAGGCCAGGCCAAAGGGTTGAGGGCCTATGAGCAATGCAGAGGAGGGCCTATCCTGATAGGAAGTACTGTGTCCTGAACACTTCTGACCCTGAATTGTAACCAGTTAACTTCCCTAATACACTTACTTCATAACTGTGTGTTAACTGAGTTCTGGGTGGTCACTAAAATGAATTACTGAACCCAGCTGACTAGCAGAGAGTACTGCTGGAGGGATGGCTGCTGGCATTTTTTGCAATGAGACAAAGTCTTACCAGTCTCGCTTCAAAGCAGCATTGTGACTGTTCTTCTTCCAAGTCGGACTAGATTCTGATAGTCCACGGTACTTTTCACTATTCTTCACCAACAGAATTCAAATGCATCCGTTCTTCTTTGGTCTTTCTTATTCACTGTTCAACTTTCATATGTTTATGAGGTGGTTGAAAATACCACGGTTTGGGTTAGGTATACCGTAGTCCACAAAGTGGTATCTTTGCTCTTTAACACTTTAAAGAGGTCCTTCACAGCAGATTTGCCCAATGCAATGCACTGTTATATTTTGTGACTGCTGCTTCATGAGTATTGATTGTGAATCCAAATAAAATGAACTCCTTGACAACTTCAATCTTTTCTCCATTGATCATGATGCTGTCTATTAGTCCAGTAATATCTGTTTTCTTTACATTGAGTTGTAATCCATATTGAAGGCCAAAGTCCGTAAGTGCTTCAAGTCCTTTTTGCTTTCTGTAAGAAAGTTTGTGTCATTTTTATATCCTTCCTTGAATCTTGATGTTGAGTTCTTCATACAATCCAGTCTCAGATTATTTATTCAGCATACAGATCGAATAAGTATGGTGAAAGGCTACAACCCTGGCACACACCTTTTTTGATTTTAAACCATTCCGTATCCCCTTGTTCTGTTCAAGTGAGCTACTGCCTCTTGGTCTATGTACTGGTTCTGCATGAGCACAGTTAATATTCTGGAATTTCCATTCTTCTCAATGTTATCCATAGTTCGTCATGATCCACACAGTCGAATGCCTTTGCATAGTCAATAAAGCACAAGTAAATATGTTCTGGCATTCTCTGCTTTCAGTCAAAATCCATCTGATCTCAGTAATGATATCCCTAGTTTCACATCCTCTTGTAAATCTAGCCTGAGTTTCCAGAAGCTCCCTGTCGATGTACTGCTGCCAATGTTTTTGATAAGGAAGGGTAGTATATCTGTTTCAGGGACATGGAAGTCTGCATTGGGCACTCTCTCAGAACTTACCCTATGTATCTACTTATACCCATTTTGCTATAATAAAACTGCAATTA